TGTGTGGATATATAATACTCATAATATTTAAAACCTACTTATTCCTTAGTTCCTTCAATGGACTCACATGACTTGGAATATTATTTAAAAGTTTCTCATTAGTGCTATAGTAACATTTAGTGATGGCTTACTATACCAGGAGCTTCAAGTTTGAGATTCTGAAATAGCAATGTAACTAATGGCAATAGCAATTACAATAAAGCCAAGTCCTGACCATTTGTTGCTTGATAACTACAGTGGTAATTTTTGCTTATTCAGGTCAGTTTTGTGGTGAAGTATTGACATTGCTCGTGGAAATATAGTGTCTCATTTTTTAATCATTCTTCTCAAAGACTCTATGAGTAACTTAATGTTTTTTATGGAATTTCTGTTTAAATTAAGATAGATTTTACTTGTAACAACAAAAATAGATAATAAAACTAAATAAACAAAAAAAATGTTCTCAAAACAGAAATGTTTCAGGTAAGTCTTAGGGGAATGGGAACATACGAACAGAGATTACAAAGGTTATATTTCAATGTAGCAAGGATGTATTTGATACTGAATCATGATAACCAGATAATATGGGACATATAAGTGCATCTTCCCATGTTCCTCATCACCTGTGTCCACCTCAAAATAAAATGTTTCTTGAAGATAATATTTTGGGTTACCAAATTCCACCTATTTGAGTACCATAAAAACATGAGAAGGATAAGAAGGATTGGCAGATGCTAAATATACTACAAAATGTAAATACATAAAATGAAAAGCTCAGAATTTAAATTCTCAGCTCATGTCATATTGAGATTCCATCTCATAAGTAGCGCATGTTCTCTTATAGCAAAAAGGATGACAGAGTCACATATCAAAATACTAGTCTTATCCTGTATAATTCCCAAACTAAAAAGATGACTGAATTTATGTCTTGCCTTATGAAGAAATGAGCCATTGATTAGGAACAAAGTGAAATCCTGAGCATTGGAATATGGATATGTGGGAGAATTCAGGTAACTCAAAATATTCTCAGTTTCTAAAACTTATTGAGTCTTTCTGGCTACCAGAGCCAACTGTTGCACATCTGACTGAGAAAGCTCTACCTTCACATAGTTCATACCAAATTCACATCAATACTAAGATTGTTAAGGTACCAATTTTCTTCCTTCCCAAAGCTATATTCCAACTCAATTCTAGATCCAAACAGCCTCTTGGGAGCCAATGAGCCAATTATCCAGACAAAATTGAGGACACAAAATTTCTTGAACATGAGACTCACATGATTCAGTAACTTAAGTTTGCAGACATATGGGAAATATGCATCAAAGTGGATTTTATGAATTCCTTACATAGGATGAAGAAATAATTTAAATCAAACTGGTATAAAAGCATGATTAGATATTCTGACTTCAGTGTGCTTATCTAGGTAACTGGTACAGGTGTTAAATATGTCTTCAACTAGTTGAACAAAATCTGAACAAAAAGGTGATTCCTATACCAGGAATATCTGTTTTACATGACAGAATTAAGTTACCTGTTGAAATAGAAGTATTAAATGTGAATTTTGATTCGAGACCCACTAATTTCATCTTAGGAAAGGGCCCAGAACATACTTTCATCACCATAAAGAAGACAAATACATTGATGAGGAAGGTGTCACCATTATAAACAAAATATCTACAATTTCTATTCTTTTATACTTGAGACCACAGAGATTGAAGTTGCAGTAAAATTATGACCTGATTTCTTGAGGGTTTTAATGGAAGAGGGCAAAATGCTGCATTTACTACTAGAAAGATGGTGAAAATGGAGTTCATAATAAACAGTAGAATTTAAGTAGTAATTAATACAGTACTCTGGCATTCTGCGTGCAAGACAATGAAAAGACCATTTTATCTTACTATGAATGAGATCACAATCTGAGAAAAAAAAATTATAACCTAGGTAGTAATGGTGTCTCACCAATTCCCAGACTGAATTTGGTTATTTGACTCATAACTCCTTAAACGAAGAGAGTGGTGATAACACTTGAAGGAGAACTATGCAATAATAACGTATCAATATTGTACAGCTTCCTTTTAGTTCTGAAAAGTATCTTTAGTCATTTCTAAATAAACTACAGGTAAGAGGTAAATGACCAAGTCTGTCAGAAATTATTGAGTAATGTCTCTAAGCTAAAACTAACCCTTGTGGGGGCCCTCCCCGGAGGCGCAGCGGTTGAGCACTTGGTTGCGAAAGTTGCCCACAGCCTCTGCAGCGCCGGTTCAATCCCCGGCCACCGGGTGAGGTTCCCACATGGAGCACAGACCTCTCCTGCCGCCCGCTGCTCCCTTAACAGTGTATTTTGTCAGTCTGCCTGCTCTGCTCCCTGCTCTGGCTCTGGTGAATTCTCTCACCCTCCCGTGCTTCTGACTGTACCCAGTGCTTGTATAAATAGTAAATAAATAAATAAATCTTTAAAAAAAAAGTTTAAAAAAATTAAAAAATAAAATAATAAAACTAACCCTTGTGGATTCAGAAACTACTAAGAAACACTGATCTGAATACAGGTTATGAGGGCCATGAGATAAATGAGTTTTTGTTCAGAGTCTATTTATAATTGGCACAATGATGCCTCCATTCTATACTTTGATGATTTCACCAGATCATTGGTGTGCATTTTCTATATTTACCCTGTATCTGGAATCAGTCTTTCTTCGTCTCTGGTTCATGAATGAAAAACTATAAAAATGTAGTAATGGGCAAAGTAAAGTATCTCCCTCTATAAAGAGTAAACACAAATCTTTATTGTTAGTTACCCTGGGGAAATGTAGCAATTAGTGTCTCCATAAAAAACATGGATGAATAAAGAGTAGAGGTTACAAACATGGGCAGATTTAAATTACCTGTTTGGTCTGTGTAGAACACAAATTAATCTTGGCAAACAACAATACACTTAATCAGGTCGTGATTACAAATACAGTCAATATGGTCTCTCCATTAAAGAAAATCAACCAAGATGCTGGAAAGTGGTATTATAGCAATGGTCAAACAAACAACAATGAACTTTTTTTCAACATTTCAATAAACAGAGACTTTAAGGTAAAATTTGTTGCCCCTATGCAAAAAAACAGGTTGGGGTACTTTCAACATATTGTTTCAGCATTCTCTTAAACTTCCAGCTGTACAACATAATTTAATCTTTAAGAAATCTGATCATCTCAACATCCTATAAGACTTCATCCTGGTTGACTACATGAAAGGCATCAAACTGAAAGTACCTGATGAAATGAAATTGTCATGTCCCCAGACATCTTTACAAGAAGACTTCATAATGATATAATATAGCTCAGAAAATGTTTTTGTAACTATATACGTATCCATAAATTAAACATTTAATCACTATCTTGAGCAAGAAATCATTATTTCCTTTCACAGACTGATCAATCTGAGCTACCTAATCAATTTTAGATCATAGCTTAATGTAAGAGTTTCATCTTGAAAAAATTAATATTTTTCTACTTATACTGCCTGACTATAATTTTGAATCTTGACAGTTCATACAAATGTGGTACAAACACACACACACACACACACACACACACACAAATACTAGAGCCAATTACAAATTTGAAATTAAGAAAGTATTTATCTGAAAAAGCGATCCTTAGAGAAGATTGAAACAAAAGTAAAAATACGCTAACAATATTTTGTATAAAACTACTTAAGGTACAGATAACTTTCTTCAACTTAATATTTTAAAAGTATTCAGACATTAAAAACTAATCAATACAGCCTAACTTCTATATTGTTGGTACTTGATAAATGTCTAACAATAGATGCATTATATCTAAGACTTTTTTAGGAGCTAGTTGAAGTTAACAATTTTTGTGGAACTTGAGACATAGTCAGTCATCGATGTCTGAGAAAAGCATCTTTAATTTTTTTAAATTATTTTGGCAAGTCTGCAATTTTATAGTATGTATACCCTGAGAACTTAGGAAAAAATGCAACCATAGTCAAGAAAATGTCTGCTCTGAATACAAATGTTTGTTTTACAAGATAGTCATGACTTGAACAGCTGAATGAAAATTATTGTTTCTTGATATTTAGTGTATTTAAAGTTCAAAAACACATTTTGCAGCCTACACAGGTCAACAAGTCAAAGGCAACTATAGCATATATTTATCAAGCATATTATTTAAAAAAATTCAGCAGTTTCCTATATCTTGTTCATCAGAGATATCTCATGCAAAAAATGAAAGTTATGCAAACTAGATAATGTTATTCCAAAGGATTACAACTCTAAGTGATTGTTCAATGTGCTTTCAATATGTTAATACAAAATTCATGTGTAGAATCAAGTAAGGCTGAAAGATGTTGCTTAAGAAGCCTGAAATCACACAATTAAAGTTGGTCTTTTTCTGATGTGGGAAGACAGTTCACATTGCTAAATATATGTTACATCACAATACTGTGATGGAGAATTGACAGATACCAGTATTTCTAGCAGCCTAGTCTATACTGAAGGCAAACTTAATTTTCATTGTTCTGATCCACCTCCACATCCTTAGCATTTTCATCAGCTCCCCCTTAGGTTAGGGAGTACATAAAGGATTCACCAAGGAAAGTGACATCCATGCGTATGATGTTTTCTCTAGCAAATAAAAAAGTGAGTAAATTGTGACATGTATTGAACATAGATAAGAATATTTGTTGTTCAAAATTATTCTTAGTAAATCTTTCATAAATCTTCATATCATTTGGGCTACTATTCAATGTTTTTCTGTTTTATCAACCAGAAGCAAGTATGAGCTCAACTGAATGAATTTCATTATCAAAAGATAACTACTTGATTTACCTGACATATCCAAAATCATGTTATTTTGGCCAAGACTTGATTATCAACAGCATTCTTGAATCAACCCAGTCATTACACAACCTAGGGGAAGCTCTCACAGGTCTTAGTCAATTTCTCCCTCAGCCTTAGAGAAAATTGACAGAGCTCACCTAACTTATACGACTTGGTTGGACATCACACTTACCTGCTTGATTTGTGGTTACATTTACAGACACATACTGCCGGGGTCCTGGGCTCAAGTCGGACACTCCATTCACTGCCTCAATCTCAAAGGTATAGTTTGTGTGAGCAAGCAGATCCACCATCATGACAGAGGTGTTTTTCAGGCCGATTTGCTGGGGGAGGTACCTGACATGACCGCCACACTCCTCACACACACCTGCATGGGAGTTGCACTTCTTGCATGCAATATAATATGACACATCTTTCCTTCCACCAGTGTCAGCAGGAGGAATCCATTCCAGAAAGACACTAGTTTCATTAACATTTGAGATGGCATTCCGAGGAGCGGAGGGGGGTCCTGGTTTGCAAAGTAAAGTGAAAAAAACATATTTTAAGATAATAAAATTAGGCATCTCTTACCACCCAAATCCCTGGCCAGAGAAGAAAAAAAATGGATAACAATCAATCTTTTAAGTAGAGAGGACACAAGTGTCATTGATTTGATTTGTAGTAATTTTTGAAAATTTTAATTAAGATTTGCAGGGTGAAAGTTAGGCTTACACCCTATGATTTCTCTTGGCATTATTATAGCACTAACTCAGTTAAAGCACATGTTTTGTTTAGTGCATATATAAATAATTATGGATAAAGCAAATTAGCAAATAAAATGTCACATGAAATTGCATATTTTAAAAAGTGGCAACTCCTTTGCCAAATCCACAGATAAATACTCTTGGGGACTGAACTGATTACATCCTCACTGATGCTTGTCCTTAAATCTAAGAAATAGACATGAAGGATCTATTAATCTATGACAAAGGTAAAAAGAAAATTTTTAACTTTGGCTCTACAACAAATAAGATTAAAGGACCCTATGATCTTTTTACAAAATTACCTAAGACTTGGTGAAACTTATGGTTGAACCCTGTGAATTTTTCCACACACACAATCTCACACACTTAAAATTAAAGCCACTTCTAAATAGAAACGATTATTTAATATGGAAATGCAGATATTATTTTTTACTGTAACCTGTAATTTATTTGATAGTGGAGCATTATGCAGAAAATATAATTTAAATTCAAAATGGCATAGGCTTGTTTCTTAGGAAAAGGTAAAATACACCGAAATACAGCCAGTTTGGACAGATATCAAATTTCTGAGCTTTTTTCTGCCAAATGAAACATAATAAAACTTAGCACCTTCCTTGTAAAATGGTCTCATCCTTATTTTCTGCCTCTGCTACTAACAGCCCCTCAATAATTGAATGAGACACCTATGATTCCTTAAAGTAAAAGTAAAAGTAAAACTCAAGTGAAGTCCTAAAGTAGAAAAAAAGGTAAAGGTCAGACTGATAGGCACCTAAAAAGTAATGTAATGAATTTTCCTGTCTCACTACTAGATACTTTGTATGAACCTAGTTCTGTGAGAAGTACCTTTACATTAAACATCAGAGTATTAATTACTGTGTTTGATTTTTATTTGGTTTTCTTTTATCATATAGTTTATAAAATACTGTTTACCAGATTTACTTTTTCTGGAAAAAAGATAGTAAAGGAGGTAAAACCATAAATTTTAATTCCAAAGAACCAAAATGAGAGCAAAAATTAAAGAGTTGCATGTGAACATCAATCCAATGAACTGTTCAAGACGATCATTTATAGTATTTATAGAATGTGACTAAAAACAGAACATAAATATTCACAGATTATATCAATATTTTAGAAAAATCCTCTAAATGAGTCCCAGAGCCTTTTTGAGAAATGAATATAAATCAGTGTTTTTTTTGAACACAAATATTAAGATTCACACACCAATAGACAGAGAAAATACAAAGCCTCCCATGGACTGAAATTTTAAGAGTTTTAAGCAGTCCTTGCCACCGGAGTTCAGGCTCTCCTATAATCCCAAACGTAATGAATTTGCAAGAAGGGAGTTTCACATTTATGCTAAGAAGGAGAAAGATCACAACTGGACTACTTAATAAAACTAATATTTAGAAATTAATAAAATTTAAAAGATCATTCATGGCATAGTTTTCCTAATTCGCAACACTTTTATCTGTTCAACATTTTCATTATTTGTGCTTCCTTTTCTGGGACTAAATAATCTGTAGTGTAACCAAAACACATCACATTTGATCATAGTATATAGTTTCTATAGTCAAATGAATCCTCCCCAAAGTCGATATAATCATGCTATTTACTCATCTGAAGAGGAATTATTTGTAATTAATCACCATCTGACCCATACAATTAACGGTCTTAGGTTAAAAGAATTGTCTTTAACAAAGTAAAGCTAATTAATATCAATGATCTGAAGATTTATGAAATATGCTTCATGGACACTGTGAAATTCAGACACAAATTTAGATAAAATTTCAATTTGGGTTTTTGATTAGAGTGACTGTACACTAATACTACACTTCAAAAATCTTTGTCATCTTTGAGAGTGATTATAACTTACTGAAACCTAAAATAGTAAGATAAGACAGATCATGGAAATTGAATCTTATAAGAGGGGAGTCAATTTTTGTTCCTTTAATTTTGTTATTGTTATTTTTAATTTGCTATAGAGAGTGTGATGTGGAAAAACTGAAAGTATGGTCATCAGGCAAACAAATCTGTAAATTTGTTTTCTTCCCCAAATTGTATCAAACGCTAAAAAAACAATAACACCAAAAACAATGATAAATATGGATACATTCACTGCAAATGTTGGAATTAAATGTTTCGTATTCATCTACTCTAGTTATATATGATCACATAATTAATAGTAGTTAAGGACACACTAATAAGATACATGACAACTGCTTGAAAAATCAGCTAAAATGTCCTTATATTTTATCATTAAATCTGACTGTCTAACTTCTCCCTCCCCCCATCTCCCTATGTTTGTTTTTTTATAGTGTTTCTAGTCCTTTTATATAAATAACTTTCTTATTGATCTTTGCAGCTTAGTGAGGCAGATTAGAACAAGAAGACAGAAGTGCATTTATAGCATGTTCATGTGATCAGAAGGCTGGCTTGGATGAAGAAGAAGAAAAAGAAAAAGAAGAGAAGAAATGATTTACCATGAACAGGGAAATGGAATTATCAAAGTCATATGTGACAATAGTGAACACTAATAGAAATAACAAAATAAAAGAAAAAAAATTCTATTATCTGTGTTTGTGACGTTGAATGTGAAATTAGGGTAGCTGAATGTTTCTAACAGTGAGTGAAAAAAAATTTCAAAGCTTTCTATGCTTACTCAAGGAGATTGAAATTTGGTAAAAAAACTATCTTGGAAGATTAAACTTGATGCCTGTTTTAGGGGAAATGGTAACAGAATGTAACAGGCTGCATCATGCTCTTTCTTCAAACTGGTGAAAGTTAGCATCACCAAATACCCATGGGTTTCCTTACTTGTGCATGCCATTGTGGGTGGATCAGACTCCCTCCTGAAATAATCCTTTTCACAGACACAAGAGGTTGAAGCTTCCTCATGGGTGTAACTGTGAGGTGGACATTTGCTGCAGCTCTGGCTGTGAGGTGAGGCTTTGAAGAACCCAGGTCTGCACACTGTCAAAAGAAATAAGAGACTAAGCTTTTCCCTGGAACAGATGCAGGGTTTGTTTTGTGAATAATGTCATTATTTTGACTAGTATACACAGATTACATATAACACAATCTTGGCATTAATTTAAAAATCTTTCATAAGCTTCTGAATCATAAATACCAGACTATTCATTTAGATAATCAAATATTTAAGTATTCAAATTAAATATTTTTTGAAAATATATAATTTTTAATGATTTTTATGTTACAGGAGCTTATAAGAAATTATATTTATAAAAGGCAAATACTTATATGTATTTAAAACTGAAGCAGTGGTATAATTTTAATTTACCCTGTTATTACAAATTATTTTGAAAAGATGCGAATCCTCCATTTGCTTATAGGATGGTATGGGAAACAGTTGGTGCTCAAAATTTTGTTACTGATTATATAAATAAATTACATAGTAGGTGTTAAAAGTTCATAAATTCTGTTAGATTGGGGAGAAAGAATGAATTAACTAATGTATCATTCACATATTGATTTCAGGAGGAGTTGGAATTTAGGTATTTATTTTACATTTTAATCCATTTTAGAACTTGTTTTTGATTCAACATGCAGCTATTCTAATGTCAATACCACTTAAACTATACAAATTTAAACAATTTATAAAGGGTAAAAAGTGTGCCTTAATCAAGTTTGCTTTCATAATATTTATCACAGTGTTTTACCAAGTAGGTGTTCATAAATTGTTATAATACGTGAATAAATGAATGAATGAATGGCATGGTATGAAGATTGTAACTGAAATATTTCAAATCATATAAAGGAAGTGTTACTTGACCAGTAAAATGTCTAAGTTGCTGTTCAGGTAAGTGTTTCTTTCTTTCTTGTTAGTGAGTAATAACATCAAACTTCAATATTGCAAAGGTCCAGCATGGGCCAATTGAAGACCACAGAACTGATGGTTTATTGACTAGTTAGGGTTTAGTTTATTTACATATGCTAATCAACTTTCAGCAGTGTTCTTTTTTTTTTATTTTCAAAATCCACTATATATACTTAACAGCATTTATTCAAGCATCAATGAACATCTGCTAAGCTCAAAGATGACCTTGTATTTCAAGAGAAATTTTTGACAGACATAATGACTTGGATCTAATTTTCATGTGCAATAACTGATCTGCGGTTTTAGTAATCCATGCTAAAGCTTCCTGCCATCACCATGAATAATCAGGAATTGACAAAAATGAGAAGGTACTTTTTCAGTAGATCTAATTATAGTGATAGTAAAGCCTTAATGCTCTTATGAAATTCAGAGAGAATGTGAAAGTATTTGAAAGATAAGACGAGCTTTTTGATAGTATTAGGGACATTCTTGTAGTTAAATGATTAGGGGAAGATTTAAAATATCATTTTTCTTATAATAGGATTGCTGTAGCAGCCAATATCATTCTTAGGTAAGTTATCCAATTTTTCTTCTTTTATCCCTTTCAGTAAAAACATTTTGACTTTAAACACTATTAGCTTTCAAACACATGAAGTGTCAATCCACACATTCTGTATACTTGGAAATCAATTATCATTCATGAAACTAAAGTCATTTATTTTCTGTTTTATGAGTTATTTCTAACTAAAAACTGTATATACCACTGCTATCCAATCCTACATGGGAGCTCTGCAAAGAGTAAATAATATAAATGTAAATAAAAAATAGGTAAATTTATCCTTCACTCAGTAGTACCTCAAAATATTTTCAATGAGTGTGGTGGGCCAGCAATTTTGCTTGGTACTTGGTTACAGAGGTAAACAAAGTAGACATGGCCCTGCCATCATGAGTCTTACAGTTATTGCATAAATACATGTAAGTGTGTTTAGGCTAGGAAAGAGAAAGGCCACAGGAGGAAACAATTATAACTAATTCACACTGAACTGTCAAAGAATGTCCCTCAGGAAGTGGAGTCTCTTTTGTGAGGTAAAATGATCCAATTTGATGAGGAGTTCAGCAGGGAAAAATCTTTGCAAAGGGCCCAAAGCGGTGGAGCACAGAGAGTGAGACTAAAGACATTAAAGTACTGATTAACATGAATAATTATTTTACATCTCCACAAACAAAATTAACATTTATCATTTTATTGTTTGGAGAAAAGCCAGAAATCTATGTTGTTTTTTTGTTTTGTTTTGTTTTTTAAAGTAACAATGGAAAATTGTGTGAAAGTGAAAATTTGTAAATGAATGTTACCTAAGAAGTTTAGCTTTTATTTATTAATAACCTCTGTATTATCTTCTCTAAATTAGACAGTATCCAAGTACCACCTTAGAGTTTTCTTTCATCATAAGCAAAGGTAATGTTTTTCTGTAGAAGTTGATTGAATCTAATGACCAACTTATTTGCTTTCTTTCATATTAAATATGATGAAAAAGTGTTTTTTAAAAATATCATGAAATAATTGTGCATCAGCCTCTATTGTTTTTCTTCATTCATACATGGTTCAGTCTAAATGTTTTATTGAACATCCATGTCAATATAAATGTTATTTTTTGACAGGCAGGTTATGAAGCTTGGGTATTAAAGTTGAATTAAATTGAATGATTCATCTTGTAACCAAAAGAAAAGTTTATATAGTATGAATTTGATTTGAATATCCATCATTTCTAGAATCAGGCAGTGAAATCTGTGTTGGTTAATTCAGTCATAAAATAAATCCAGTTATGAATCATGTGCTGAATGAACTTCAGTTTATGGAATTAAACTTCATGAAGGGACAAAAGTATCCAAGACACTATTGAGTATAAAAGAATATGCAAGAGGGCCTCCCCTGGCGGCGCGCTGTGAAGCTGTCTGCAGCCTTTGCAGCGCTGGTTCGATCTTGGCGGGCTGGGGAGGGTCCCACATAGCGTGGCAGAGCTCTCCTGTCTCTCTCGCTGCTCCCCTCTGCAGTGTATTTTAGTAGATCTGCCTGTTCTGCTCCCCACTCTGTCTCTGGTGAATCCCCTCACCCTCCCGCGCATCTGGCCAGTACTCCCATTCTTGCATAAATAAAGAAATAAATCTTAAAAAAAAAAAAAAAAAGGATATGCAAGACCTTTCACGGTCTTGACCTGGACAGTTAAGTTAAAAAATAGTGTGTGCAGTTACAACCATTTCTCCCTGAGCAGTGCATCAGAGATCACTAACTTAGATAACAGCACTGCATATATAACAAAATTATATCTCCTTTGACATGATGAAAAAGTACACATTAAATATGTACTATTTTGGAATAAATAATAAGCCATTATATATAGAACAAATGAATTGGTGATTATATTTTCTCCTTAAAAATCAAGTAATAACTACAACAAAAAGAAAACATATTCCTAAGTTCTGCCAGAGAATTACTATCCACAATGATTATAATTTGAGTTTAAATAAAACATTAAAAAAATCAGTTCTTTGAAAAACATATATATGTTTTTAAGATTAACAAGTGTTTCAAAATGATAATTTACTTTAAAACAAAAGAAATGTTTTAAAAATTCCTTGATTTTGAGACTATTTACTTAGAAATATAGGGTATAACACATTTTTAGCTATGGACACCAGTACAATGAAGGAAGGACAGAGAACACATAAGGCATATATTTATTCTAAATCCATTTTGTCTAAATTGTACACTGAGAATTAAAATGAATCGAGCCATTTTGCATCTGCTCAGTCTATATCTATGAAATGAAAATCTGTGAATTAGTAAAAACAAATGGCTAATGCATTTCACTTGGCAAAAATCAGTCATCTATTTGCCCCTAATTTTCAGTGTTAAGGCCCTATGGGCCTCAAATTAAGCAATATCACATGTCAACATTAGGGGCATAACTTTTTATTCACAGTACAGGGAATACATGCCCAAAATCACTTGGTAAAATCTGTCCTTTAGTAAATATTTTAATAAATTTTCACCCATGCATTCCCTCAAATATATTTCAGGGCATCATATATTGTATTATTTTTAATTGTAAATATTTAAACCACACTAATATCAGATTCAATGATGAAAAACTGGAATCTTTCCCTCTAATATCAGGTATAAGACAAAATACGACTCTATCCACTACTATTCAATTTAGCATTGGGAGTCCCACATAAGCAATTAGGAAAGAGAGGTAAAATTAATCCAAATTGGAAAAGAATTATCACTATTTTCAGATCACATGACTATGTAAATGTAAAACACCTAAAGACCCCCTTAAAAAATTTAGATACAGTAAATCAACACAATAAAGAGGCAGGCTTCAAAATCAAAATAAATATCTAGTTTTGTTTCCATATGCAAACAATGAACTAGAAGGAAAAGAAATCAAGAAAACAATCCATTTGTAACCACATCAAAAAGAGTCAAGTTCCTAGGAAACAACAAAGGAATTTAAAGATTGACGACACAAAAACTACTATACATTATACAAAGAAATAGAACATAAAGAAATGGAAAGATACTCTATGCTCATGGACTGGAAGAAATCAATATTGCTAAAATTCTCATTTTGTCCAAAGCAATATACAGATTTACTGCAATCTCTATGAGAAGTCTTTGAACTCTTAATACAGTACCTCAAGAACACCCCTCAAAAATATAGGGATGAATACACCATCAATTTTTTTTAAAGATTTTTCAGGTGATGAGCAGTTGTTATGATCAGGTTTTAGACTGTAAAGATATCTGTAAGGTAATGGCAAAATTTTGTCAATGGGACTGAATCAAATGATTTGTAAAAATATTAACTTCTGAAAATTTTATCATGCTAAAAAATTTTATCATGCTAAAAAAAAACAGTACTTAGGTATATATGTTTGACTAACGCAGTAAGACACTCATAATTATTTAATACCTTTCTATTCTATATGTCAAACCTATACAACCATATAATCTTAAAAAACAATGAAAGAAATAAACATTTAAATGGTATAAGAAAAGCTTGTAAATTTTAGCTGACACTGGGGGAAAATTTCAGGCACTCAATTATTCTATCCACACAGAAAATCATTG